TTAATAACCAGGCGAAGTGTCTAGAAATATCGGACCGAGGTGTTTTGTACAGACCGAGCCCGTAGAGCGAGTTTGTACAAAAGACAGAGGTCCGATATTTCTCAGTAAAGACCGAGAAAGCGAGGTTATTAAAAGGTTTATTATATGGCATTATTTGACCTGAAGGCTTTCGTCCTTGCTGTTTTACCGGTTGGCTTTCACTTTTATAGTTTTCGTTCATAAAAATAAATCGTTTCAAATTTTATTGTCTGAATAGTTTAACTGTTTTGCAAATGTTTTCCTTCGAATCACATTCTTAAATGTTTTTGTTTCGTTTATTTTGCGTTTTGCTGTTTGCATTACGATTTGTTTACATTTGACTGTAAAATTACGCTTTTGGACCGTCAATTACGAAAATAATGGACCGGCAAAAATGTTTCTAAGCCGATCAAAGCGCGCCATTTGTGAAGTGACGCTTGCCATATAATAATAAATCATAATAGAAATGGCTAACTTTATACTCCTTAATTCACAGTTATAAAATTTGATATTTCATGTCATGGAAAATTTAGCTTTGTTTCCAGTAACTCTAGTGATTGGGTGAATCATACGTGATTTATGACATTCATGAATCTGAGTGCATCGGTGATCATGAAGCGGACCAATTGTTTTTATTAATTTGTTTTGCCTTGATATAGTTTTCTGATCTATTAGTTGGAGCCCAGATCTAATAATACACTAGATAGTGCAACTGACATAAAAGTTGAAACCGGGCAAATTTACTTCCGGAGCCCCAAAGTAGTAGAATCAATATGGCGTTGTATTAGAAATATGTGGTCAAGTTAATTTCTCATAATTATGCAAATCGCTTGGAGGTTGCATCAACTTTTTTCTTCTTTAGAATAAATCATTGTGACTATAGTTTGTAATAAAAAAATTGCAGAAAATACGCCAATACATCGCCGTAAAATTGATTTCAAGTGTAGCTCGATTTGAAAGCATCAGCAGCGACTAAGGAACAAGTACTGGAATTTACACATCTAAATATCGTATCACAGAAAATCTGTGATAGTGTAAGCTTAGTTCGTGTGGCATTACAGCGATATCATACTCGATCTATGGATGTTAATAATAGAACGGTATACAAAATCAGTCAGAAATGACACATGTTACAAGCACAAATTAAATATTTTGCTCAGAATAAATAATTTAGGTTTGATATTTTCAATAACAAGAATGTGTAGAAAAGTTTTATGCATATACATTCCTGAATGGTAAAACAAGACAATAAAAATGTGGAAAACAGTAGCATAACATCACCATAACAGTACATTAAGCACTGTGGGCAGTGGCCATATAACCCACTGGTTTAGACTATGACAATACATTGTTTTATATATGTGTAAAAACACAGTCAATACTACAAGATCGGTGACTCTTCTTGCTTTAACAAGTAAATATTTTCCCGTGTTGGACAAGTGTATTATCAACCTGTAGTATCAACAGTTTCACAAGTGACCTGCTATTTTATACTTCACAAAAATTTGGTGTAACAGAGGTAGACTCATAATATAAAACAAATTCGAAGAAGCAAGACAGACTCTATGACATAGATAAACAAGACAAAACAGGACATAGACAAGACATAGACAAATAAGAGATAGACTCTTGAGGGAGACTCTTCACATTCTTTCTGTAAATAATTTCTGACGTATTAATTACTCACATCTTGACATAGCTATATTCGTTTGCTGACTAGAAACCTGAAAAATGCATTTCTGGTACAATAATCAGTGCAATATTTAATTATGTACAGTGAACAATATACTTTATATAAATCGTGAATCTTTCAAACTGTTATCTCCAATTCGTTTTTACTTAACAATAAATATCGCAAGATAATTCTACGACGTTCGATTACCATTTTGTGGCAGATTGTCCTGTGATACGATATTTAGATGTGCAAATTCCAGTATCTTAAGCCTTCGTCGCTGCTGATGCTTTCAAATCGAGCTACACTTGAAATCAATTTTACGGCGATGTATTGGCGTATTCTGCTATCTTTTCTTGAAAACTATGGTCACATTGATTTTTTCATTAATAGAGTAAACCAGTTTATGTAACCGTCGTGACTTGCAAGTAATTGCAAGATATCAGCTTTGACAGATATTTTCTAATACAACGCCATATTGATTCTCACTACTTTGGGGCTCGGGTAATTGCCCGGCTTCAACTACTACTTTATGATAGTAAGCCGTTGCACTATCTAGTGTATTATTAGATCTGTAGTTGGAGCCCCATTCTTCAGCGACAGGGGTGATGAAGGTCGTGTTTATACCTTAGTGTACTATCAAATCAGGTAAATTACTGTTCACTATTTTATACTGTTTGTATTTTGATTCTTGAACCTTATGTCTTACAAGCATGACAATTGAAGGAAAAACTGCGCCGGCATTGTGCGGTGAAAAGTTTGGCTAAGTTTGACAATATTCTGTGTTATATAATTTATACAGACTTTGTAATGACAAATTTTATAAGTACAGCATAATTTAACTGTAGTAAAAAGACAAAACATAAGAAATGTTCTGCACGAGTATAAGTCCACTTGGTGCGCGAATTCAAAACCGAGGAAAATATGTACTGTGCTAAAGTATCTAAAATTTAAAATAATGTGAAGCTGGAGTTCATTAACATGATATTTTCTAGAATCGAATCCTTGAACTTTCTCCTAATGAGAAAAACGACAAGATCCTGGTTTACGGGGCAGTAACACTATGGGGCAAGATTTGGATGGTCCATAACACGCGCAGAGATCTTAATAATGATGGGATTTTGGTATATTTACAATTAAATGCGGTTGATTATTTGTTTTTTTTGTGCAGGTTATAAGCATGATGTCGATTATAAGTTGTTAAAACAGCAAGAGCTCGAAATTGTGGATGTTTTTCGTGTGAAATTTCTTTGTTTTACTTTTCAACTTGTATACATATAGCCATGCTTAAACACACTAATCACAAAGCTACTTGTGACTTTTAAAGTTATGTAAAACGGTTTAATGATCGATTTGATCTCACTTGTTGTGATTTTATCTTATACCAGATTTTATTATTGGAGCACCTCAAGATCAACCAGATCTTGACGGAGATGGTTTTGGCAATGGCGCCATATATATTTATCATGGACGTAGGGATGGTATATTTAACGATTATCAGCAGGTATGGTTTTGTTTCTTTTCCACAATTTTTACAGCAAGTAACAATCTGGACGGGGTTTTTTCATAAACTGTTAACTGTATAAATTTCAATATCCAAGTTTGTGATTTTACTGTCAATGTTTTTTCACGTATTTTATTCTTTACTTAAATACTCACCAAAACTTTAGTTTTAAGTTTAGCGAACTTATGTAGCACAGTACTAGTGCTTAGCTAATAATTACACTGCTGTCCCCCGGAAATTGAGGCTAAGTTTGCACAACACTACACTCAATTATTTTTGCGTGCATCGTAATTATTATCAGGTCAATTCTATGGGATTGTGTGAATTGATACTTTCTATCGTTAGCTCTACACTTAATTTTTTCTTTAGAAAATAACGGCCGAAACAGTCAAGAAGTTTTATCCTAGTTTTGAGCAGTTTGGATACTCTGTTGCGGCTATGGTTGACACTAACAATGATCTATATCCAGGTTTTAACAACAGCACGTCGTATTATTTTCGCTAGTCATGAATGATTATCAAGTTATGTTTTGAAATAGTACATAAAAATAGCTAATACTTTAACATGCAAAACTTTTAAAAATGGTTTTTGTTAAGTGAAACGAAAAATGTTTTGAAAGTTAAGAACAAAGTGAAGCTGTAAATTTTATAGTTTTTAAGAGTATTTATGCAGCATTCACTGTTCAATTTAACAAATGATGCATTTTTAGGTTTATAAGTACTGCTGTATTTTTTCGCTATTCATAGGGGCTTGGAGCGATTGTCAATTCCGTTTCCACTGCTTACAAAATTTTAAGAGCAGTAAAATTGTTGCAAGCAATGACAAAACACTGACTTGAAATGGATTGTACTATAAAACGACTCAGCTAAAATCTATTAAAGCTATTAAGAATTTATCTGTGATTTCGATTCACCCAGCGTTGGGTTTTGATTTCCTAAACTCAAAAAATTTTCTATAGATATTGCAGTCGGGGCATGGAAAAGTGATAGAGTTCTTTTGCTGAGGTATTTTCACTTATTCTTTTGAATTGGATATGTGATGATTAATCATAGAGCAGTACCAATTGCAACGAATTAAATAAATTAGTTAACGCTATCAAAATCTATAAGGAACTTATGAAATTATCAGTCTTCTACTGTTTACGTAAACAATTTAAATAAATGTATGGTACAAGTTAGTTAAATTATTTATAAATGCTTGTGGTTGATTGATTTATTTAAGTAAGTCCGTGATTACATTTTATTTTAAGTAGCCCAATAATCCCATGTTTTTGTTAATTTACTTTCTAAGGACTCGCCCAATAATGAACTTGGACGTTTCATTGACTTTAAGCAGGAAGGAGATACTTGTGGAAAATTATACCGTATTCTGTCCCAACAGTTCTATACAATGGTAAGAATCATATTCTCAATCTTTTACTTGATGTGTAAATAATAAACCTGGCTTAACTTGGATAATGCGTTTTAAATGAGACTACAACTCGTGTAACCAGTGCATCCGTCTGGTTACGAGCCTGGGGGAGATGTCACTGGAAGTTGTATCAAGGAGATAATGCATTGAGAGTTGTTTATGATGGGAAATTTTAACGGGGATAGAAACCAACAAGGGAAATGTTAACGTATACAGTACCGCTCGCAACATTGTATAATTTTGCGTGTGATACGCGTATCCTTTCGTATCATACGCGTATCATTCTCGTATCATACGCGTATCGCTCTGTATCATACGCGTATCGCTCTCATATCATGCACGCGTATCTCTCTGAATATCACACATATATCATTCTCGTATCATCGCGTATCGCTCTGGTATCATACGCGTATCGCTCTAATTTATCATACGCGTATCGCTCTGGTATCATACGCGTATCGCTCTCGTATCATACGCGTATCATGCGCTTATCCTTTTCGTATCATACATGTATCATTCTCGTATGATACGCGTATCGTATGTTAACAAATGCGCGAGCGGTACTGTATATTAGTATAAAAATTTGACCAGAAGAAATGTTGGTTGTGGAAAATAAGAAAGGTATATTATGAGAGAAATCAGAACATAAGAGTCCGTTCACTTGTGATGTTGTTGTAACAAGCTTTTTTTTTATTTAGTTTGGATGTTACAGTGTGTTTCCAATACATCGGCAAAAGTGTCTCTGGTCCTTATGGTACGTATGCATGGTGAAGTTTAGATGATTAACTGTTTCTTTTCAAATGATTAGTAATTGCTTTTGGTCGAAGAGAATTGCATGACAGAATATCGAAATCAACTTATGTCAGTGACAATAGTGAAAATAAAGCTCAAAACTATCAAATATGTAGTTATACAGAATGGAAGGTATTGTTGTGTATTGTTGACATTTCGTTTCCCTTTTGCTACAACATTTGTATCATTGTAATAAGATCAACAAAAATATTTTTTACAGAACCGTTTGTTGTGCAAATCATACAAATAAACCACGATTCTTTTAAAAATATAGACATGTTTTGGCATGCTTTTGTGATCTTCATTGTTTATGAAAGTGTATAGTGATCATTCATAAAGATGGAAGGAGATTAGTCATCTTTTTAGACCTAGTCGCAACTATTGACATGATATGAATATACAACTTCCATTTTTTGAACAGAAACACAAAAGCTGTACACTGCATTTATCATTTTATCTACAAATGTAAATTTAGTCGGCACAACTGTGTAAAAATATGATGTCAAAGCAGCCATTTTGGCAGGTTTACTTCAAATACCAATGCTCAACAGTGCATGAAGACAGAAGGCAACTTTTTTCACTTGATTGGATTTTCAGCTAACGGGTGGACATTGAACCTCCCATTGGTAAACTTTAAATAAACATGTTGCTTAGTAGTTTTACTTTTAAAACGTATGTTTACGTTAATATTGCTTGCTTTGAATAATAATTCATTTATTTTTATATACCGAAGATAGCATAAGCTCTCCGAAACATGCCTATTTTTAAAAGATTCGTTGTCTTTTTTGTCACGGTTTTTGTGTTGTTATAATATTATGAAAATCACACTTTATGCTGGAAACCTCAAAATTTGTAAAAATTAAAGGGAATTTCGATACGGCTAAAAACAGATAGGTTTTGCACAAGCTTGTTTCAAAACATAAAAGCGTTTATTGTTCTTTCATAAATAATCACTGTTGAGTATGTGGAAAGTTGCTGTAGACTGAATAGTTAAGAGAGGATTGCAATAATATTTTTTTGACGTACATTGTGTTTACGTAAAGAAACCTAAATCTTTTCATTCAGAAGACATACTTAGTCGAGTCTGTTTGTTTTCTTCCTAGAAATTCAATACCAGTTCGATTTGGATTATCAAACATTGCAAAATTTTAATAAGAGAGTGTATTTTAATGAATCAAGAAATGAAATTTACTCCAAGCGTGATAAAATAAGACTTCCAGGCAAGAATGTTACGTCTTGTGTGGAATTCACTCACATTCATGTTCGAGTAAGTCAATATCTTTCTTAGTCGTTGTGCTTATTGGGCTAGACAGTCGTTAACCTAACACTAATGTCGCTTTCATGCTGAACGCTGGCTAAGATTGTCATTGTCATATTTCTGTCGTGATATGATGGTTTGTAAGGATAAGGGGAGGGGCTAAGGGCTACTATGATGGTTAAAGGGGCTACTATTATGGTTAAAGGGGCTACTTTATTCTGAAGGGGCTACTATTATTAGGGTTAAGGTCAAAGTTAGGGAGTTTAAAGCAAGTGTTTACTTTAAGGTCATTTTTAGGAGTAATGTATGGGGATTAGGGTTTTGTACGGTTGTTGAGGTTACTTCACTTACGTATTGATCCTTTGTTGGTGTGTTTCTACAAGCGAATAAATACTTTGAACCAAAAATGCCATGAGCTTGTTTTCAGAATATTCAAATTTTTGATTCCTTAAGTAGTGTTTTGCCAAATAAGTGTCGTAAAATTATTTACGTGTCCAACTTTACCTAAAACTATTAACATATATATGTTTTGCTGCAGAGATCTGTTTTATGTATTTCAATGTCGCTGTGGGTTTGTTGATATTTTTGTTTTGTCTTTTTATCACCATGTAATTTATGTGAATGTCAACATATCGTTGTAAAATACTACATGACTCACAAGTACTTTGCTTTTCACGCGCTTTTCGTGTATTTCAAAGTTCTTGCAACAGAAAATCATTTAGTCTTTCTCAAATGAAGTAATGTTAACTTCATCAATCGAAATCTGAAAAACTACGTTTTATACAAACCGTTTAATGGGAAATTAATGTGAGTGGCTTCAGCTTAAATACTAACAGCTTTATCCACCCCATATAGTCGCTTCAAAACGTTCGATCGCAGTACTTCTAATTCTTTTCATTGTGTACGTTAAAATTCTTTCTTACATTTTGTGAATTTGTAGGAAAGAATCTTGTGTGCCGATTGAGGCTTGAGAGCCAACATCGGTTTCAAAATAAATTACAGTCTAATTTACCACCAAACTGCGAAAATACGACTTTATGTCCAGTTTGGATACAAGTAAAGGCTCTGTTAGAACGGAACAGGTAGGAATAATTTGGAATATGACTTACTACTTTTTATAAAGGAAATGTTTTGTTTGTAAAGTAGTTTTGTTTAGTAGTAGTAGGGATTATTACAATTTTCTGATTAAATTTTTTATAAATATTGCGATTTTTATGGGAAATTTAAAAACTTTGTCGTGAAAAGTTCAAAGCATTGCACAGATTTATTAACAGGTTTATGAAATTCTTTCGTAACTTATTTTGCCATTATTTGTTGTTTTATAACCACATTTATGGCAAAGTAATTCCTAAAACAATTAGCATTTCATTGAATCGCATATTGACGAATTATCACTTCGCAATATATAACGACCAGGTATCATCATTGTGAAGTAATAATGTTGTACTGAGAAAACCTGTTTGTAGGCTACCATTATTGTGAATTGTACTGACAACGAATAATTATGATCTCAAAACGACAGTAAGGTAACATTTTCGTTTATTCTTTACTTGCACTTTTAGATTTGCGCGACTATGCGTGTTTGATTTTCTTTGGTTTTTCAAAAGAAATGAAATTTTAACAAAATTATTTAAAAACTACTTACTACACGCTGGGGAGATGTCGAAAGGGCTCAAATACTCGGGAAGCGTCGGTTGCTCGTAGCTTCCAGTTTTTTTGGTGATATACCGAGCGACCATCAATCATTCTGAGCTCATTGAAAGAAAACATGTTTGGTTTGAAATACTTGAATAGGTATTGAAAGACAAGTTCAAAAAGGAGCAACAACAAAATACATTTGAAAACGTTTTTCGTTCACTTTTTTTAGCTTTATCAACATTGAATAACTTTATTGTGTATTTTAACTAATTTTATGTATTTGTACTAAATACATGTGTTTAAGCAAAATTTTCAATTGTCGTAGGCTCGTAGCGAATCGTTGTTATATTGTCATCACTAACATTGTTTCGTATATCTTAACTTTAGTGTGCAGCAGCTATATTATTTGTATTAACTGGATTGGATTGATTTGGTGTGTAACTTTTTTTGTTTAGTGTTGATGAAAATGAAATAATTATTGGTGAAACCAATTCCAGGAAAGTGACTGTTGAACTCAGCAGTTCTGGCGAAGTTGCGTACAATCCTACCATAGCATTAACTCATGACCCGTCATTACAATATGAAGATTTCGATGTATCCGATGTAAGTTATTGTTTCAGTATTTTTGTTAATAAACTATGTATTAATGAACGATAACGATTTGTTTGTAGACATTGTGAATTTTTCTCTGTCAATTTTATAGAGATCGTTCAGAATTGTGCCAGATGCAACACTAAGTAGACCTGATTACGATTTGTTTCAACTTCAAGGACCCCTTGATCCAAATCAAAAGGTTAGCCATTTGGGTTTCATATGAAGTAGTTGTGAATCATTAAGCCTTTTATTATTGGTTGCACTTTTATGCGCTGCTGTTATTTTATTCCGCAAAAGACATCCGACCTTTAGGCCAACTGACGTCCATATTATTGATCTCTATGTTTCTTCAGGATGTAGCATACACTATATATTTTCGTTAATTACCAAAACGGTTGCGTTTTAGCGTATACTCCGCTCTCTATTTTACTGATTAAAGTTTGAATTTAACACTCAGCAGCTAAAGATATTTTACAAGTATAAAGAAGATCACAAACATCTAATATGTCTCGTTGTTTGCCATGATTTGTATTGTGTATCGTGGGCCAGAAAATGCAAAGGTTTCTTTCAAGTTGGCAGAGTGCAAATGACATGAATAATATATACTCTATCCTATACTACAATAAAACTTATATTTACAATTCCTCCGCATTCAAAGGTAAAACTTAAGCTCAAATCGGGACAGAATTGTCGACAAAAATCTCCTATTAAAATATCATTTAGAAAATACTGCAACTACAAACCAAAAATACAAATGAGATACAAATGAAATACATTACATAGTTAAAGGTTTCAGATTATTGTTAAGATCTGATGTTATGTAAGGAATGGTAAAATGGAGTTGACAAGATAAAATGGGCTGGAGAGTGATGGGAAAAAGTGCAAATATAAAAAAGAGGGGTTGAACTAAAAAGGTTCAGGGGAATGGAGCAGCCTTGGATGTTAAGTGATGTCTTTCATTTAGAAATTCAGCATGGGTGAAACGACACGTTCTATGAACACCAGAATCTTGAACAAGCTGTACATACAAGACCGGCATATTTTTTAATTGAAGTTTTACAACTGATATAAACTATGTGAGCGTAAAATTGTTTCATCTTTAGATTTTTTTGACAGGTGACACTGGAAATTACATACTCGACCACCGCTGTACTTGGTAAAAAAAAGAATCTGGAAATTTTTGTTAGGGTGAACGCGTAAGTCTGTTTTCTTTATATTTTAATTGGTTATTTGCCATATAAGACGGAATATTTGTTAAAGTTACATGCTTCTTGTGGCTTTATAAACGCTACGTTGAACCGTGCGTACAACTAATATTTTGTGTTACATATGATCAATTACATTAACCTCATTATAACTGATCCTCGAGGAATATAATTTTCTGAATATTAGAATTCTTGAGAAATATAATTCTTTACAAAATCGTGGATCCACGAGATTGATCTATTCAATCGTGATGATAACAGGTTTTTTGAACAGTGTTGTTCGCTTCTCCTGCTTGGTGTTGTGTTTGTACAGTAACGTATATAAATAAGCTATGAAAGAGATCTTTCATTGTTTTAGATGGTTATCGATCTTTGTAATTTAGCCTCGAATTTAGCAAACTCTTTCATACAATCAATGCGTTATGTGCTTTTGTGATGTTAATTCTTAACGTTACATGTCATTTGATTTCTTTCTTATGTTTTTACTTTGTTTTAGGCTAAGCGGAAGCGAGATTAATAATGAAAATAACAACGCCACCATTTCTATGATTGTCAAGCGCAATGTCAAACTAGTAATTACCGGGTATGTGGGACTATCTGCTTTTAGTTTTTAGTTTTAAGTTTGGTTAAGTTGCATCTCACTAAGAAGACTGCTGTGTCTGAAAACTTAAGGAGTATTGTGAATTGTAAAGAAGTTTCTTTACAAGCTAATCATTGGATATCGATGTAACTTAGCTACCGTTGCACTCGTTGTCTTTTTAAATACACGTAAATCTGTCATCTATCGTAAACAACCTTTTTGCAGATGGGCAGTGACTTTGGTCAAATATATTATATATTTTGACGTACACTAGATCCGCCACTGTTATCGATATTACTAACTGATAAACTTTAAAACCTTTTATTTAAAAGATGAACTTTGTGTTTTTAGCACAACTGTTCCTAAGTCACTAAACTATCCAGAAAAAGGCCCTGATTTAAATATAATAGACAACGACTATAGCTCTGTGAACATTTCTTCTATTGGACCACCAATAACTATTACTGTCGAGGTAAGGAGAAGATGAATTTCTCTTCCACCAATATTCTTTTCAAAACTATAATCTCGTATAACGAAAAATAATTAGTTATGTAGTCATTTTGGAGGTCTCCTCCTAACTATGAAAAAGAAAATTATCTTCGCTATTTTGTGCCATTGCATATATTTCTAAATTTCTTGTCTCAATATATTTGGTTTCTATGACTTTTTGATGATGCTTGTATGACTTAAATCAGACATCTGACGTACCTCTATTTGCATGCATTATATTACCTAACATAAATGCCCGTCAACTTTTGAGTTGATTTTTTGTTTTTAATCCATTGGATATCATTATAGGTTTACTTACACGACGTTTATACTTCATTTAGGTTGCAAATCAAGGTGAAAGTGATTTAGAAGATGTGAAACTTCATATAAGCGTCCCTCTAACCGAAAAAGACAAGGAATTCAATTATCTTCTGTATCCTGTCAGTATTAAGGTCAGTTCTGGCAGTTGTATGATTTTTATTTTGACAATGCTTTACATCGGCGATGTTTTTCTGTGAATTTATCGAAGTGTATTATTGGAATGGAAAAGTTCACAGTTTAATTTTGGTTAGTTTTTGTAAAGCACTGTGGAAAGGTTTGCTAGGCTATGGTGGAAATGTTTACAAGGCTATGTTGAAATTGTTGTTTCTATGTCATAAATGTTATGTTTTGTTTGTTTGATGTAAACTACACATACAATTTTTGATTTAAAGCATTAGGTTTAAGACGTTTCTGTAAACAATCTTATTTACATCTTTACCAACTGTTTAATGAACATTAAGTTACGTATGTCGTTTCAGGGAAGAGGTGATGCCAACAACGCAGTATGCAGTGGAAGAGCCTTGAATCCTGCTAACCTGTCCTTAACTGCGGTAAGGATAACCAGGAATAAACTAATTGTTTGAGACTGCCCGATGTATTTAACTTAAAGTAAATGCTTTGAACCCGGGAATATCGTTACATGTTTGTGGATGTAGATCGTCCAGGTTAGTATAATCCTGAGAAGGACTGTTTTTGTTGATGTTGACTGACGTTTCGACAACCTTAGCGGTAGTCATCTTCAGAGTCAAATTATCCTCAACTTTATTTGTTTAAGTGTATGAAACTTTCACTTCAAATTCGTAGATGCCTTGTAACCGACTTATTTTTTTATCAGGACTCGCAAGGAAGAACTAGACGGAGAAGAAATACAGAAACCCTGGTATGGTCACGATTGCAGTTTATCTTAGACAATGGTTTAAATAAAATAAGATCGACCACTACGAAAGCAAAATATCTGAAAATTGACCCAAGTTTGTGAGGCGATAGTGCAATTACTTTGATTTAAATCTCGTTTTTGTATGAAATTGCTTGGAGTTTTTGCAGCCGGGTTAGAAGTGGCAAAATAACAACAGACAGCGTATACTGGAACTTTTTAGATAAAGTATCCACAGTATTTTTTATTATTTGTTTTATTGCCTAAAGCTTTAGATATTCGAGTTCTTCTCAAGTGTTAAGAATACTTTACTTTAAAAGTGTCTTGTAGAATCAAATTATGTGTTTTGTCAAATACAAAAAACGCGTTATTTTTGCCTGTATCGTTGTTCATCAAGTAATATTGATGAATTACTTAGTCTGTTTTAATCAAAACATTCAAACTGCTTCGAATTTGTTTTTCATCTCATCCACGAGTCAGGTGCAATGCCTTTGATTCAATTTTTTCCATTGTTGTCAAACTTTCTTCTTTCTAGTCACCTCGGACGATGGATTCAGGACTGGTGACTTGTACAATCAAAGAAATTGAAAGAAATGGTCGTTTTGTGGCAGACTTAAATGTGCGACTGTGGACTGCGACTCTTGCTGCGGTAAGGCATAAAATAAGTGAACATTTGTGGTAATACATTTCTTACTTCCAAAAATATTTTGACGAGGTGTGTTGCATCAACAACTTCCCAACACAGACAGTAGTTGAATGAGAGTTGATTATTGAAATCCGGTATATCAAAATTTATTTTGAAATCAGTTTTTGGTGATATTTTGTACACATGAATACCGTTATTTCGGTATTTTATACTGCATAGTAACGAAATGAAAGTGTCGTCCAGTAGAACTTATCACAATCACGTTTACAAACTAAAGTTAAAACATGCAGCCACATACATCTTAATAATAACATACCTCATAAATACATCTTACGATTCGGCAGTTTTGGTTTAGCAATTCAAAGACAAATACATAAATACCTATTTTAAAAAAAGGCGTCAAAATTCTATTTGAAGAACAAATATTTTTTGGTTGTTTTTTTCGTGGAAACATGTGCTATATGCTTTTTATTTTTCAAAGAATAAACTTCAAATTCACTATTGATATACCGGTATTTTGATGTTGGTATACCTGTATATACCGGTATTCTGATGTCGGTATACCTTTACGTACTGGTATTGTGATGTCAGTATACCTGTATGTCCTGGTATTCTGATGTTAGTATTCCTGTATATACCAGTATTCTGATGTCGGTATACCTGTATTTACCGGTATTCTGATGGCGGTATATTGGTATTTGCGTTATCAACTACCTAACTTTGCCATAAGTATTTTTGAAATTTGCAAAACTTTGCCATTAATATGTGCAACTTTATTATACGGATTTAGTATTATCCTAAAGATCTTCTCATGATTGTCCTATTTAATGCTGAATATGTCAACAATCTTAATGAGAGCGAATCACCTCATCGTGGACATCAGGAGGTTAGCAATTTTACTTTTTCTTAAACATGCGAATTTTTATACATGTTTGATAACATTCATACAGGTTTACCCTTAAGGAAGACGTTCTGAGTTTGTTTGAACTGTTGTTTTTTACATTATCGTTTATTGTAGGTCACAATTCGAGTAACTCCTGAAAATGCTCCTGGAAAATCCAAATCAACTCCAGTGTGGGTTATTATTGTCTCTGTGCTTGGTGGTGTTTTGTTACTGGCTCTTTGTATTTTCGCTTTATTCAAAGTAAGCAAAAAAGTTTTGTGTTAATAAGGTTTGAATTTGCTATAATAAAGTCAGGATGGTAAAACACAAGACCATAGGCACTCGGTAAATAGTAGACATTATTTAATCTAAACGTTTCGACAAGTGTTACATGTCACCTTCAGTAGAAATTGTTTTTTAAAATAGCAACAGCAAGTTGGTGAAGTTTAGGATAAGTGGCGCGGAGTTTAGGCCAAAAAGCAAACAGTTTCTACTGAAGATGGCATGTAACATTTGTCGGAACGTTTAGATTAAATTATGTTTACTATTTGCGGAGTGTCTATTGTCGTGTTTTACCAAAATACTCTTTGGCAGTCGTAATTTTTTTTAAAGTCAGGATGGCCATTTTTGTTTTATCAATTTTTTCACGACTTACTCATGTAAATGTCGCGTAATTCGTGTTTGTCACAGTCACATAGTTATGGTTAGTAGTATTTCTTTTACCACTCTACAAGACTGCGCTATACTCCTTAATTTTCTCTCATGGAAGGTCTTATCTTTGTTCGTGCACTGCATATAGCATTTAAGGAATAAAAGATATTTACTGTGTTTGCACAGGCTTTTAAATTGCTTCTGTTCGAAAGTTCTCACAAACATCTCCGGGGAATGTTTAGTAGCCAAATGATTTTTAAAATAGATTTCACATTACAAGTTATTTTATGTATTTTAGCTTGGTTTCTTTAAACGAAATCGACCTCCAAAGGAGATATCACCTCAGCAAACAGATGAAGCACAACAGACTGAAGTTAATTAGGATTTTTATCTTCTTTAATTTGTATTATTGGTAATTAATGCACTGTTTGTACGGCAGAATTACTTGACAATTTTATTTACGTAAAACTCGTACAATGAATCAATAATTTCCAGCACAAGGTTGTATGTGTGTGAAACATTTGCCTTATTATAAAAGCTGTAATATTTCATAATTGTATGTTAAAACTAATAATTTTGTATGAGTAACGCTCTTCAAACCAAGTGACAAGTAGAACGAGATCAAACAAATGGTTGGTATTAATTAGTAGAAACGTCACAAGTAAGACTAAAATTGTACTGACTAAAGCATACCACACTATGACCTACCTACAGTCGCGAATAAAAGTTTAAACTTTTAAGCTTTTTCATGAGTTCAGTAACATTTTAAAGAAACAAGGAAATTGAGCTTACTATTAAATGTGCATAACTAGGGACGGATAAAAAAAACATCTAAGGTGCTTGCACGATAAAAAAATATTTACCAGAATGATAGTTTATTCGCTAAACTATTTGAGCATATTCAGACTGTAGCACATTGTTGCCATCTTCTCGATTTTATGCTGATCGGACTTGGGACTTTATCACGGGCTTTATCGGACTTTATTGAGGCTGTTGGTATTGTTCGTGGATTTTTATTTTAAGAAATAAGTTTGGGAGATTTCCAAAGGAAGAAATCCAAGATTTATAATTTGAAGAATAATTTTTAGGGAAAATTGCTTAAACAAACTAATAAACTTTTTCTGAATGTAAGAAAGACAAAACTCGTTTGAACCAGTTAAAAACAGTTACCTTAATCTCAATAGATTCTTTGGTAAGATTTATGCAATTTATTCTCAGTCTGCTAAATTGCAGAGAGAACTAAAATTATTGCTGCAGAACTGGATAACTAACTGCGCAAAGTCGACAAAATTTTGACAACTAGATGGGTTGCATCCTCGTCTCGTGCAGTGAAATCTTTTGGAGAAATTATCCAGCTATTGAAGCATTTCTACACACTTTCACTCCTGAGTTTCCGTATGTATTGCCTATTTTGAATAATTTAAGTGGGAATTGTTGGAATTATGAACAATTTGTATTTCTGTTAAATTTCTATCTTTAGACTTAATGGTGCATTGTGTAATATGAGACAATATATTTTGATATTCATAAATAATAATTTTTTCCTATTTCTCCAGAACTACAACTGGTTCCTACTTTTTCATGCTACTTTTATAGTTTAACTACAGTCAAGTCTGTAATTTTCTTGTGCTTACTTTCATTGGCCAAAGTTAATCTACAAAATAGTTCAAATACGCATGCGACTTCTTCATTCAATCAAAATGAATTATTGCAGAACCAAGATGCTTTTCATTCAAGAATAACGAATGGATTACAGGCTTTCTTGCGAGGCACCAGACAAATTATATCAAAGAGAGGACCGGAAATCAATGATACAAACAATGCTGAAAACAGATTGGAAAATAAATCCTCTGGTAATGAAAAAAAGAAACCAGTTGAAATGAAGGGTAAATATCTTGATTTCATCATCATCAGTTTTTTTTATCAAAAAGTATAATGCTGAAATGGAAAAACTTTGAACGAAATTATTTTTCGTGTAATGTTGTTTGTTCAATATTTATACTATCTGGCAAAATTTCTTGGAGTCTGGAAATATTTTTCTTTATGGTGAATGTTCACATGATTTTGTTTATTTTAATCACTGTTGACGAAGAATTTTGTGCATTGTTGTAATATTGCGAACAATTTAGAACAACAAGTCATCCCCGTCATCCCACATGTTCCCAATTGATCCTGATGATGACGATTTATTTATGATGTCACCAAGATCAACAGAACATCTGCCAGTTGCAGCGTTTTATCAAAACTATCATCGAAAGTTCGTCATCCAAGTCGAACTGCATCACTCTTTACAGCAGTAATAGAAACTGTGAAATTGTTTTTCTTTGATGTGTAGAAACTGTGCAATTGTTTTCTTCTGATGTGTAGAAACTGTGCAATTGTTTTCTTCTGATGTGTAGAAACTGTGAAAATTGTTTTCTTCTGATGTGTAGAAACTGTGCAATTGTTTTCTTCTGATGTGTAGAAACTGTGCAATTGTTTTCTTCTGATGTGTAGAAACTGTGTAATTGTTTTCTTCTGATGTAGAAACTGTGAAATTGTTTTCTTCTGATATGTAGAAACTGTTGCAATTGTTTTTCTTCTAATGTAGAAACTGTGAAATTGTTTTCTTCTGATGTGTAGAAACTGTGTATTTGTTTTTTCTTCTGATGTGTAGAAACTGTGCAATGTTTTCTTCTGATGTGTAGAAACTGTGTAATTGTTTTCTTCTGATGTGTAGAAACTGTGCAATTGTTTTCTTCTGATGTGTAGAAATTGTGCAATTGTTTTCTTCTGATGTGTAGAAACTGTGAAATTGTTTTCTTCTGATGTGTAGAAACTGTGTATTTGTTTTTTTCTGACGTGTAGAAACTGTGCAATTGTTTTCTTCTAATGTGTAGAAACTGTGCAATTGTTCTCTTCTGATGTGTAGAAAATGTGCAATTGTTTTCTTCTGATGTGTAGAAACTGTGCAATTGTTTTCTTCTGATGTGCTAATTTGTCCTACTTTACAGAATATTTCATATTTGTTGCAGAATGAAAACTTATTTGCATGTGCTCCAAAGCACTTTAATTTACTTTCATATGCAAAAACCAATCGTTGAAATGCCAATATTTTTATTTAATAGAACTCAGCAAAAAACGACAAGCTAAGTCATGACAAAAACTAGACTAAATCAAACAAAGACATTAGATAAATCGAATAAACGTACTATTATAGCCATGTAATTTATTTTCTTAGAGAAATTTGTTATTTCTGGAATTTGTGGCTAAATAAAATCAAGTTTATTCTATTATTTTTCAAATTTTGTAAAGGCTGAAAAATTATACTTACATAAAATAAATCAATCTCATCTACAGCTGCGTGAAAACTTAAATAGTTTTAATGGATTGAGAAAAATTTTTTTTGAAAATATCTTTGCGGCCTTTTTGAAAAGTATTTGGTACGTATAAAACTTAGTAACTTGATAAAACACCTTTACTCTTCGTTGAACAGTTGTCGTTACTTAAGACTTGTATTTAAATCACCATGTCTATAAAGTTAACAGGGAACATTCAAACAAGCGTGTGTTTGATATTTTCTAGGACCATGAACGTCTTCAAGATCAAGTCTCTCATTTCAAAGCGGAAGTAGATAAACTTCAGTCAATATCGATCTATTGTGGTTCTAAAATGGACACCTACATAAGTACGATGCTTTCATTTATCACTTTTTTATATAAAATATTGATTGGTGCTTGATGTACTTTTGGCTTTCCTCCTATAATGCCTGTACGATTATTTACGAAATGGCATTAAATGAGGTTATGGCTGTACGAGATAACTTGTAATTTGGAAAATCCGTGGGTGAGTGTTATATTTACCTCTAAAATATAGTGTCTTTGCTAATGTGCTTATTATTTAGATCATCTACAAGAACAAATAACTCAAGATGAGAAATGTATGGATGTTGTATACTTGTCCTTGGCTGGTCTAAAACAGGTAAAACGATGAGCTGAGAAAGTTGTCTTTTATATATCGATATGCTGATACAATATATTGACAACCTGCATCTTCACTATGTGCTTCCAGGTTCGTGACATCTTGAAAGGAACTTTAACTTTTCATGGCTCAACAGGATTCCGAATTCAGTTAACATCGACACGGCTATTACATCTCTTACACCCAACACAAAAACCTCGAGTGATAATAAGCTACCGAACTCGTTACCAGTTCCTCTACTTGCGGACTACCGGCATTTTCAAAAGCAGAAGGAAGAATTTATCCTAATTGAATCTAATGAAGGGGAAAACGATGACTGTGGTGCAAATGAAAGGACGTCTGATAACTTTAAACCTGAGAACGTCGATGATATTTCTTCTGACCTTATTGATTAACCAAATCACTTTCACAGAGATTCATCGATGCCAATTTTTACCAATACTTTTGGCGATTATGGCTCAACATAAGGCTTGCGTGATGTAGTCCTGTAAAAAACATCTGTAATTTACTCTCTTCGCTTTCCAAACTTAGTATATTTTGCATGCTTTCTGATTTTCTGCACAACAAAGCTTGTTCTCCAACAAACAAATATATCTTGTGGCAAGCGATCTTGCCTTTACTCTTGTTCCCGCTAAACAACAATCAGTCGCACAGGCATTCTCCCATTGCAATCTTTCATCGCCATTAGCTTTTTCACCTGTGCGTATGTCTTCTTGTACTGCAATTTATGTTGCTTTTTTCTAATGATTTTCCTGGGTTTTGGAGGGAAAGGGATTCTGGCGATGGAGAGTTATATTACCAAGGATATAAAGTAGCACTCTTACATCTTAAAAGTAACCTGGAAGTACTACATCTCTATGCCAATTTGAATACAGTTGATTTGAATAGTATTGATTCGAGTACTAGTCATGTTGGATATTAAAAACATTATTTTTGTATAGACTATCGGCCACTCAATGGGAATTAATAATATTCAAAAATAGAATCGTTTCGTTCTTTTTATTTTCTTGTATTGTACTTATCATAATACGAAAAAAACTTTTTTCGATATAATTTATGTTTTTCGATTTACTATTTCTTTCTTTAATGAAGATGGGTTTTCTTTGTTTTTACTTCTCCTAAAACTCCTTTCTCGTCGGTCGTCTACATAAAAATACCCACAGTCGTCTCAGCCTGAAGAATAAGGAAGGGGGGAGTAGGTAGATATCATTTATTCCAGTACATAAAAAATGTTTTGGAGAAATGTCTGCTGCTCCCTCCCGCTTTTGAGCAGTTAAAAGTTTGAAACTTTAAATTGCTTGAAAACATGCATGATCAAATTATAGCCTTTTGTAACAGTTGACCCTATCAAAATTGTATCAACAATAAATTCCTGAAATTCTGTTCTTGCGCTGGCCATTTGCTGTTGTAACTTGTAAAGGCAAGTTTTATGTAAAGTATCTATATTGAGGTTGCTGAGAAAGATGGTTGTTTCTGAAGTTACTGGGCATATTTCAACGAACTTCGTAGTATTGATACAACATGACCAACTATGGGGCGCCATCTGTTTATCATTTAGTAATTCAACACTGCATTTTTGCTTGATTTATGAGATAAAAGAATTTTTATTTTTGTATCTGTTTACTAGTCGAAATTTTAACCAAATAATTTTGACTCTCAGAAGAACGATTTCTGTGTTTTAAATCTGGAATATAGAAAAGCTTATTCAATAAAATCCTCCTAACTTTCACCAGATTTTACTTTTATATTGAAATATGATCTGATTGTGTGAACGATTTCATAAAACATTAAGGATTCCAGACAATTTTACATAGAAGTTCCATTTTAGTTAACTGCAAAATATATCGATATTGTACATCTGATCTAAAACTCCAACAATATTCGAAATTTAAATATGGGTTTCAACTTTCAACAAAACAACAGATGCACTTTATCTTTGACATTATGATGAAATGCTGAAAACTGTGTCATAAAAAGTCTAATGTTTGTTTAGTCATTTATCAAATCTTGAGTCTTGACTTGACATCTCATAATTTCACAAAAAAGTGTTAGGAAGGCTCAATATATGGCTCTACGCATGAGTATGACTGTTGGTAATTGGCTTCCATCCAGTGTTCTTTAATCGATGTACCTGGCATGTCATTAGCGTTACCTTCTACAGGTTACTTACTTTTGGTTTGAGTTTGACATTGTTGTGTATTACGTATACGTAAATTGGAAATATGAATCACTGCAATCCGCGTGCTCACATTTCTTGATGTCAAATCATCAAAATTTTTGATATGGTTTTGAAGGGATGACTGACCCTCACCTCACACTGTTAAAATGATACATGACAAAGATTTAATTTGCAGGGAAAATTGAAAAACGATGTATTTGGATAGATTAAAACAGTTATCCATATTAAGTGAATTTTATTTGACACAATAATAGTTTTTGGAAAAATTGATTGTGAATTCAGTTTTGGTGAAAAGCTTTGCCTGAACAACTGTTTGGCCTGCACCTGCCTTTCGTTCTGTCGCAATTCTGTAGGATGTTTCGTATTCTTATTTTTTGCAGAGCATTTAATTCCTCCCATATCCACCGCTTTCTAACAAAAAGTTCAAGTTTCGCCCCTACCAGTGCTAATCATAGATCGAAATTTGCGAGTTGTTCAGTAAATTTATATGTATTCTTTAGCAATTATAAGCTAATGAAATTTCTTAACCAAAAATTTTCAGAAAAGCACAAAGGTTTATTTCTAACATGAAACTTCCAAGATTTTAACATAAATGTAAAAAACCACCAAGTCACAATTATATGGGCGGGATATTGCTGATTAGACAGTTTTGGCATCGTCCGTAAGTCTAGCGAGTACTTCCGATGACGTTCGATATCCGCCACACCTTCTATTTCATGCCCAATATCAGTATACATAACTCAAATTCACTCGAACACTCATAATCTTAAAAGCAAACGAGCGAATTGTGTCATGTTGCAGTGACTTTATTTCAAATTCTAATCAATATATGCGTGTTATAAGTTGTCAATCGATTCAAATGTCTGTTTTACACATATTACTTATATTTGGTTTTAAACTTTGCTTATGTTATAAAATTGAGCAAATTGACATAAAACTACAAATGCAAAGGTGTTTTCGGAAAGGAATGATTCTATGTTTGGCTACAGTTTGACTTTACACAGTGGAAAGGTTTCTCCTGGACAGGATTTTTCAGGCCAACCAACGTAAGTATGTTGTCATCACATAATTTTGGTTAATTTGGACCCTGTACAACCTTTGTAAATTGTATTGTGTTAAAAATCTCTATGTATTATTTGCTATATGAAATATGCGAGGCGCCAGCCAATCGTATAGATACTCTTTATTAAAATACCATCTTGATTCATTCATCAGAACCGGTTGTTGGTATAATCATATTGCAAGTTCTTTTGATGTGCGATTTCAGTATATCATAAGAACTAAACGAAGTAATGTCTATCCTGTGATACCCATTCCCATAACATAATTTATAAAAAACTGCTACTTTCAATTCTTATACAGAAAACGTCTTTCATTGATATCTTAATTGCTTTGATCGTCATATTTGAGGATGTGACCAAGTTCCTGTACACTAACAAAATCTCCATATACATTTGACAAGTTCAGCTCCCTCTGTAATTTGTTTTGCACATTTGTAAATATTTTGAATAATCTTAGCAAGACTGGATAAATGACAAATGACGCCCATGGCTTTTCATGTATTTCAAACTTGGTATAAACTTTAAAACTTTATTTCCTTGATCACCATAAGTGTAATAATGAATGATTTGACAACAGACCATTTAAAACATTAAACTTTATTTAATGCTAGGAAAAGCCCTGGGTGGTTTACTATTATTTCAAAGACAGATATATTGTTAAGGCTTTTGGGTATTGTATTTTTTTAGTAATTTAGATCATTTCATTTCTTGTCATCTTGCATTCAGCCAGTCAGCCGTGTACTTCTGGTTCCCAAGTAAATTTTTTGGATTTATTTGAAACCACTTTTAGACTTCAGCTAAACAATCAGATTCACAATGATTTTCTGTAGTATGTTGTACACTGTATCTCTAACATAATGTCATGTGACACTGGTTACAAATTAAGGTGGAAAAAGTGCATCACAATTTGCAATCCCCCTCTCTGGAATATAAATCATTATCTTCTCTTGTTTCATATCTTATTGGATAGTAAAAGGCTGATATAACTAAAAACAAAGATTTGATGAAGTACAACACTTATAGTTGATAAATGTTTATAGAAGCATAAAAACCAGTCAAAAATGTGTTTTCCAAGGTTTATCTTTTGTGAATATAAATGCTCCTCTGTTATCTTTTAAGTGAATATGTATTTGCCCTATAAACACATTTTATCACAACAAAGCAAGTACATGTAATAACAGTGAAAAACTTTCCAGCACAAAAGATCACATGAAAGGTATTGCAGCCTAGCAACCCACAACCTCTCACAGTTTCCATAAAATGGATCTAAATGGGAAGTCGGCATTGAAATAATGAAATTAGAGTTATAGTGTGCCATTAAGATAACCAGCCGCCACCTCTCCACACAGATTAAAGAGCATACCAATTCTGATAAAAACTCTTACATATTCAAACACCTCTTCTCATCACCTCACTGCAAATCTAAATACTCACAATCCTGCCTTCATATTTTAAACAGTGCCCACACTACTTCATCTTTAAAACTAAAAGAAGCACTGTACGTCAAAAAACTCAAGCCTAATCTTAACAAACAAATTCAGCATGTCAATACTATCTTTAACTAGTAAATACTTAACACCTCTAATTACTACATAATTGTAAATAACTTCCGCTTCCACTCCTTTTGTCTATACACATGTCTTGTATCAGATTTCTTTATATATTAACTCCATTCAAATATTCATTCATTATACCACACTGAAGATGGCATAAGTTTGCAGAAGCATGTTTGCAATAAAAAATGTAAAAAAGTTGTCGTTTACGTTAAATGCAACAAAGAAGAAACTTGTTATTTACTTTATTTTGCAAACCCTGCTGTGTAATTTAAATATTATTCATGTTTTAGTGTATTTTAATAAAAATAGCCCCTAACTTGATGACAATTTCATAAAATAAAACATAATCCATAGAAATACATCTTCTAAACTCAAATTTTAGTTACAATTATGTGTTATTTGGACTACGTTTTA